GGTATGGGGGGGCCGGGGGGCTCCGGGGGCCACCCTGTCCCACCCTGCCCCCCGCCAGGCACCCCCTTACTGTGATCTGGATGTCGGCGTCAGGCAGGGGGGCTCCCTGCCCCCCTGGGGTATAGGTCAGGGTGTAGCGGAGGCGGCCGCCGTAGGAGCCCACCTGCACAGGGAGACAGGGTGGGATGGGGTGGGAACAGGATGAGGAAGGGGACAGGGAAAGGAAAGAGGAAGAGGATGGGATGGGATGGGATAGGGATGGGGTGGGGAGGGTGAAGAGGATGGGGATGGGACAGGGATGGAGACAGGGACGGGGAATGGGGATGGGGATGGCAATGGGGAAAGTGAAAGGGAAGAGGAAGAGGATGGGATAGGGATGGGGAAGGGAGAAGGAAGGAGGTGGGGATGGGGATGAGGATGGGGAAAGTGGAAGGAAAGAGGAAGAAGAAGAGGAAGGGGAATGGGAATAGGACAGGAATGGAGAGGGGGCAGAAGATGGAGAAGGAAGAAGGGAAAAAGGAAAAGGCAAGCGACGGGGGAGTCTGCGCCCACCTCCCCCTCCGACAGAGCCATGGGGCGCCCAGGGGTGCCCCCGGGGAGTGGGCGCAGCCACCAGGCTGGGTGCTGCTGCAGGCAGCCCTGTCCCCTGGGGTGGGGGCACCCCCGTTACCTTGTCCCCCTGGTAGGGGGGGGGCAGCTGCCAGTAGTAGGAGTCGGGGGGTAGCTCCCCGAAACGGTCATAGGTCAAGCGGGGCTGGGGGGTGCCTGGCTCCACCCGGAAGCCGGTGCCCACCCGGGTGCTGCGCTGCCGGTTCACCAGGGCGAATCCCTGGGGATTACCGGTGGAGAAGGGCGTCCGGACCTACGGGATAGGGGTAGGGGTGAGTGGCATGAGGGAGGGATGGGGACACACGGGGACACCCTGGGGATGTGAGAGGACACTCACGGTGCCACGGGCGTAGGTGGTGCTGGCGCAGTGCTGGACGATGCCCATGCAGAAGCAGGGCAGGCAGCCGGCCGGCTCGCTGGCACTCAGGTGGAAATGGTGGGGACGGCAAGTGGCACAGTGGGGACCCTCTGCGTTGGCCTGGGAGGTGGGGGGCAAATGGCCACGGGGTGGGTGACATTGCCCTGTCACCCCCCTCCCAGGTCCTGGGGACGCGCTGGGGTGGGGGACCGGGCTCACCTTGCAGTGGCACTGCCCGGCAGCGTCACAGCCCTCTCCGGTGCTGCCACGGGGGTCACACTGGCACTGCCCGTCGGGGACACCCGGCTCTGCTGGCAGGGGGACACAGACAGCGGTTAGGCACAACCCCCCTCAGTGCCATTGCAGGGGCCACCATCTTGTCCCCTCCCCGTGATACTCACCTCGGCACGGCTCTCCCCGTGGTGGGTCTCCCACATGCCCGGGCAAGCACCTATGGCAGGGGGGAGGTTACAAAAAAATGCCAATGAGGGGGGGGTTGCACCCCAAACCCCACACCCCACACCCCCACTCGGGCTCCCCAGCACCTCTCGCCGAGGCGCCCCCT